CTCTCTCTCATACACACACATTACACACAGTACAGAAGACGCACACACACAGTACACGGTGCACGGAGAACACACAGTCACCGGCGGAACACACACAGTCACCGGCGGAACCTTCGACCATCTATAGTCGCCGCCGACGTCACGCCTTCGTCATGCATCCATCGCCGCCGCGTCTCCGTCGCCGCTGAACGCCTCTGCAAATTCTCGTCTTTCCTCCGTCGCGGCAGTACTTTCATCAGCCGTCCTGATTCATCTTCAGCGACATTCCATTCGAGGCCAACCTCGACAGAATTGACAGCCCTCCGCCACCTCCGCCTAACTCCGGCGACCTCCAATTGCGACCAAATCGACCTTCAATCAACCCCGAGCAGGATGTTCTTGGTGCGGTTGTGCAAACAGCCAGATTGGTTGTCTTCGATTGCGTCAAACCCGGAGATCCGTGCCTGCAGGAGAGTTCCGATCACTAATTCACTTACATAGCTTAATTGAAATTGATTTTTTTTTGGTAAATTAGAAAGGGTTTAAGGACCTAATTATAATTTTATATATTTTAGTTTTATATCAATTCAGACCTCATGCCTAATATGTAATTAGTAAAAGTTAATAAAAAATTTTGTTTTTATATATTTTTTATACATATGTATTAATTAATACAGAATTGAGAAGTAAGAATAGTATTAAATAATAAAAATATTTCAATAATTTAGTGTAACTCAATGCGTAATTATATCTACTAAAACTAATTTTCAAATACACATAATTTATCTAGTCATATAAAGTAACGCACTTTATAAATCGGTAAATTGCATTTTATAAAGTAACACGTTGCACTTTATTAATTAATAAAAAATTGAGAAGTAAGAATAATATTAAATAATAAAAATATTTCAATCATTTAGTGTAACTCAATGCGTAATTATATCTACTAAAACTAATTTTTGAATACACATAATTTATCTAGTCATATAAAGTAGCGCATTTTATAAATCGGTAAACTACACTTTATAAAGTAACGCGTTGCACTTTATTAAGCAACACGTTGCACTCTATACAATCTACAATTAAAGTCGTTAGCTTCAGTCAAACTACCACATCATAAATCTAAAAAATGTAGCTACATAATATAATTTAACATCCACCACATTATCCGTACAAAAAAAAAAA